GACATAATCATCAAGAGATAAGGTTTCATATAGTCAAGTCAAGGACATAAGTTAATTAGTAAGTTTTTGAGTTATAAACCAAGTTCTTAGGTGTGGAAATATTTTTGTCACCCACCTGTATAAACCTGTAAAGAATCTCTATAGCTATGTTGTTGTTATAGTATTGCTATTAAAAAGGCTACAGTACTGTAATATTTGATACCTCCTGGTAAAAATATTTTAAAACTATTTTCTAAATGATATTATCTAGACCTCTTTTAATTAATAGCTATTTAGTAAAGAATAATTATCTCAGATTGAATTGAATTGAATATTGCAGTTAACAATTCTCACCACCAAGAATTTATTTTAACTATTGTCTAGATAATATTATCTTAAAACAATTAAAGGATTTCTTATAAACCAAAGTATAGATATAAGAATCTAACTCCAAAAACATTATTTTATTTTCTCTTCTATCTTAGCCAGTTTGCTAAGGTTTTAGACTTTATTTTATAACTAATAAAGTTACTGAATTACATAATAAGTATATTATAAATCACTAGTATGAATATTAACAAAACTCTACTCTTTTCTATACTATTTTACAAGCTTTAAACTCAGATCTTTTTTGTCAAGCTTGTTATTCCTTATCTAGAACTAGTAGTTATACTTTCTTCAAAAGATTTTGAAATTGGTATTCTAATACCTACTTTGCTTATAGTTATACTTTCAGAACTACTATCAACTTTGTATATCTTTTTATAACCCAAAACAACTCTTCTATTTATACTGCTATTCAAGATATTATTTTTTAGTTGTAGATACAACCAATTCATAAGAAACCTCAAAGTAATTACTCTTATGTTACTTCAAAAATACATATTCTTAGTACCTTATCTACTATTGATTTCGAATTTCAAACTATTTTTGACTATTAAATTGATTTAGACTATAGTTTTGAATACAAAGAACCAGGATAATTTGATAGATATTTTGTAAATTTAGGCATATCTATATAATAACAACTAGACAACAGTTATAGTTTTAGTTACTAGGATCAACAAATTATCTATTGAGCTCTATCTTCTTCTAGCTTACTTTTTTATTAAAATGAAACTAATAACCCTAACTATCAACTGCCTTTATACTTACTATGAGAAATATTAGAAGTATCTCAAGTACAGTCTTCCTCCTCTATAATCATACAGTTTGTATCAAGAAAATTAGTGATTATAAAAGAGTGTGATTATATAGAAATATTTTTTATAAGTTTATTAATAAATCGTCTCAAAATTTAATATGATTACATAGGAGTTGTGATTATATAAGAGGTGATTATAAAGGAGAAAGACTGTACTAGTTGAAGTACAATCTAAACAATTAATAGAAATAGATCTTGCTGCTATCCCAAAAGCATATATTGAGAAACATCTTTTAGAATAAAAAGCAACTATATAGCAAAAAGAACCTGCTAAAAAAAAAGAAGAATTAAATAGTATTATCCAAGATATCTTTATACTAATTGAAATCTTTGAATTACAAGATCATCCAGAACGACAAGAAAATAATCTACCTCTACTAGAACAACTAAAAAATAATCTACCACCATCTAAGCAACTAGAAAATAATTTATTTCTACTAAAACAACTCAAGAACAATCTACTACCTCTACAACAACTACCTGTAGTACCTTCTTTAAATATAGCTAAAGCTGCTCTAAATGCTATCATTATTATAATAACCTAATTAACAAATACTTTAACACCAGATAGAGAAAAGTTTTTTATAAAAATTAACTTCTTTACTAGTAATAGAAGCCAAGACCTATAGAGTGGTTAGAAAAATTTAAATAAGCTACTATTGCTAACAACTAGATTGCTGTTTGACAACTTGCTCTTGCTCTTGCTAATTTAAAAAAAATTGCTACTAAATAGTTCAAAGACCTTAACCCTGCTCCCAAAATCTTTAATAATAAATATAATACCAATTAAAGTTTTTATTATCTTTTTAAAACCAAATTCAGTACTACAAAACAAAAAAATCAAATAGCAAAAACAACTTTTAAAATTAAACAAAAAACAAATACTGTTGATATTTATATTATCTGCTTTAAGAAGTTACAAATCTGAGTAAACTCTGCTGATGATTTTTCTGATAATTTTATTTTCTAATTCTTTATCTAAAAACTTAGACCTGAGTATACTATTGGCTAGTGGTCGTACCTTAAGGTATTGTAACCGGTTAACTGTTAGGTTATCCGGATAACTAGATTATAAAATTGACTATCAGGTTATACAGTTAGGATATCCAATTAGCCTAAGAGATAATATAGGGTAATATAGAGTAAAATATAGTTACAATAATATATTGTACGCACGTATATCACTGCGTCAAATTGAAATGATGCATAACATACAAAACCAAGTTTTTGATAAATGCAGAAATGCCGAATGTAGTACATAACTTGTTACTGAAATATGATAAGCCTGTATTATTATAAATTAGGCTTTTACAAATTGCTAACGCTAAATATCGATATGTAAATGTAATTAAACCTTTTAAATATATATGATAATAATTAAGTATTAAATAATAACATGTGAAGTACGTGGACGAAATTTAACTAAAAATCCTGTTTATATTTTTTGAAGATTAGTACCGTATTTTTTTCACTATCACTAGCCTTTATACAATATTTTAAAAGTTGAATAATTTTCTGATAAGATATCAATATATAGCTATAAATAGTGCAATGATTTCTCGATTAAATAGGCATAAGTTGTAGTAGAATTATATAAATTAGTAATAGTTATTAATGTGATTAGTTAATTCTTTATGACTAATTGTTCCTTTTTTGATAATAAGCTAATCATGACAATAAGACAACTTCATAAAAATCATCAAAGAAAATGGAAAAGTCATGAAAAATTGAAGACTTATAGGGTATATCAACGTATTAGTTCACTTTATTGTGTATATTAGCAGTCATATGAAAGAAGCGATAAATCATAGCAAATATAAAAATAATGAAACCCTATTCTAATATATTATTTTTTTATTTTTTTTTTATTAAAAGCTTTGATCGAACAATAATTGAACCAAAATCAATTGAAAATCAATTGAAATACAGTATATAGCATAATCTAACCAAATTATATATAAGTCTATATATAAGTTCTGAAGTTTAATAAAGTATCGTCAAGTTACAAATTTCACTCTCACACACTCATATGAAATGAAGTAACAATCAATGAATTAGAATAGGTTTGAAATTTGGAATATTAACTATAAATATGTTGCTAAAGAATACGAAAATAATTTCTCGTATTTTTTTTTATAAAAAATTCTATTTTATACATACGTTTTATAAAAAATGTTTAGCGATAATTCTTCTAATGAAGAAAATATTGCAATACTTTCTTCAAATTCTAATAAAAAATACAAAAAACAAAAAAAATAGATAATATATACAAATCAGGCTTCGAGTTATCTCAATCTGAGAAGTTTGTTTCTAATGAATATGATAATTTGACTAATAGTGATAATGATAATACACTTAATAGCTATAATCTGATTAATAGCGATAATAATAATATAGCTGATGAATGTAATAATTTGATTAATGAAGAATCTCATTTAATCCTAGAAAAATTTAAGAATACATCAAAATTACCAAATTTAAATGCAATAAAGCTAGTTTCTCTTATTAAACATTCAGGACAAAGTTGGATTTGGTTATATTATCAATGCTATAAAGCTATACTACCTTACAAAACAATTGTAAGTTGTTTGGTAGAAATTTATCGTAATACTAGTAAAAGTGAATTATGTGGACATATTATAGGGTCAGTAGACAGTTCAACAGGAAATTATATTAGACATTTTTCACTCAGAAATCAGTATGATGGATCAAATTCTGCAATAAAATCTTTAAGACCTTCATCATTTCGAATACTTATTGGTTGGTGATCTTTAATTAAAAATTCAACAAATTTTTGATCTTTACGTCGCTTGCATTCTGGGTTGTTATAAATCATTTGATCAATTTGAAGTTGTGAAGGTTGTGATTTTTTTGTTTTTTCATTATAAGAACTTTCTGTAATACTATGCTGTGTTGCTAAATGTCTAATATAATTTCCTGTTGAACTGTCTACTGACCCTATAATATGTCCACATAATTCACTTTTACTAGTATTACGATAAATTTCTACCAAACAACTTACAATTGTTTTGTAAGGTAGTATAGCTTTATAGCATTGATAATATAACCAAATCCAACTTTGTCCTGAATGTTTAATAAGAGAAACTAGCTTTATTGCATTTAAATTTGGTAATTTTGATGTATTCTTAAATTTTTCTAGGATTAAATGAGATTCTTCATTAATCAAATTATTACATTCATCAGCTATATTATTATTATCGCTATTAATCAGATTATAGCTATTAAGTGTATTATCATTATCACTATTAGTCAAATTATCATATTCATTAGAAACAAACTTCTCAGATTGAGATAACTCGAAGCCTGATTTGTATATATTATCTATTTTTTTTGTTTTTTGTATTTTTTATTAGAATTTGAAGAAAGTATTGCAATATTTTCTTCATTAGAAGAATTATCGCTAAACATTTTTTATAAAACGTATGTATAAAATAGAATTTTTTATAAAAAAAAATACGAGAAATTATTTTCGTATTCTTTAGCAACATATTTATAGTTAATATTCCAAATTTCAAACCTATTCTAATTCATTGATTGTTACTTCATTTCATATGAGTGTGTGAGAGTGAAATTTGTAACTTGACGATACTTTATTAAACTTCAGAACTTATATATAGACTTATATATAATTTGGTTAGATTATGCTATATACTGTATTTCAATTGATTTTCAATTGATTTTGGTTCAATTATTGTTCGATCAAAGCTTTTAATAAAAAAAAAATAAAAAAATAATATATTAGAATAGGGTTTCATTATTTTTATATTTGCTATGATTTATCGCTTCTTTCATATGACTGCTAATATACACAATAAAGTGAACTAATACGTTGATATACCCTATAAGTCTTCAATTTTTCATGACTTTTCCATTTTCTTTGATGATTTTTATGAAGTTGTCTTATTGTCATGATTAGCTTATTATCAAAAAAGGAACAATTAGTCATAAAGAATTAACTAATCACATTAATAACTATTACTAATTTATATAATTCTACTACAACTTATGCCTATTTAATCGAGAAATCATTGCACTATTTATAGCTATATATTGATATCTTATCAGAAAATTATTCAACTTTTAAAATATTGTATAAAGGCTAGTGATAGTGAAAAAAATACGGTACTAATCTTCAAAAAATATAAACAGGATTTTTAGTTAAATTTCGTCCACGTACTTCACATGTTATTATTTAATACTTAATTATTATCATATATATTTAAAAGGTTTAATTACATTTACATATCGATATTTAGCGTTAGCAATTTGTAAAAGCCTAATTTATAATAATACAGGCTTATCATATTTCAGTAACAAGTTATGTACTACATTCGGCATTTCTGCATTTATCAAAAACTTGGTTTTGTATGTTATGCATCATTTCAATTTGACGCAGTGATATACGTGCGTACAATATATTATTGTAACTATATTTTACTCTATATTACCCTATATTATCTCTTAGGCTAATTGGATATCCTAACTGTATAACCTGATAGTCAATTTTATAATCTAGTTATCCGGATAACCTAACAGTTAACCGGTTACAATACCTTAAGGTACGACCACTAGCCAATAGTATACTCAGGTCTAAGTTTTTAGATAAAGAATTAGAAAATAAAATTATCAGAAAAATCATCAGCAGAGTTTACTCAGATTTGTAACTTCTTAAAGCAGATAATATAAATATCAACAGTATTTGTTTTTTGTTTAATTTTAAAAGTTGTTTTTGCTATTTGATTTTTTTGTTTTGTAGTACTGAATTTGGTTTTAAAAAGATAATAAAAACTTTAATTGGTATTATATTTATTATTAAAGATTTTGGGAGCAGGGTTAAGGTCTTTGAACTATTTAGTAGCAATTTTTTTTAAATTAGCAAGAGCAAGAGCAAGTTGTCAAACAGCAATCTAGTTGTTAGCAATAGTAGCTTATTTAAATTTTTCTAACCACTCTATAGGTCTTGGCTTCTATTACTAGTAAAGAAGTTAATTTTTATAAAAAACTTTTCTCTATCTGGTGTTAAAGTATTTGTTAATTAGGTTATTATAATAATGATAGCATTTAGAGCAGCTTTAGCTATATTTAAAGAAGGTACTACAGGTAGTTGTTGTAGAGGTAGTAGATTGTTCTTGAGTTGTTTTAGTAGAAATAAATTATTTTCTAGTTGCTTAGATGGTGGTAGATTATTTTTTAGTTGTTCTAGTAGAGGTAGATTATTTTCTTGTCGTTCTGGATGATCTTGTAATTCAAAGATTTCAATTAGTATAAAGATATCTTGGATAATACTATTTAATTCTTCTTTTTTTTTAGCAGGTTCTTTTTGCTATATAGTTGCTTTTTATTCTAAAAGATGTTTCTCAATATATGCTTTTGGGATAGCAGCAAGATCTATTTCTATTAATTGTTTAGATTGTACTTCAACTAGTACAGTCTTTCTCCTTTATAATCACCTCTTATATAATCACAACTCCTATGTAATCATATTAAATTTTGAGACGATTTATTAATAAACTTATAAAAAATATTTCTATATAATCACACTCTTTTATAATCACTAATTTTCTTGATACAAACTGTATGATTATAGAGGAGGAAGACTGTACTTGAGATACTTCTAATATTTCTCATAGTAAGTATAAAGGCAGTTGATAGTTAGGGTTATTAGTTTCATTTTAATAAAAAAGTAAGCTAGAAGAAGATAGAGCTCAATAGATAATTTGTTGATCCTAGTAACTAAAACTATAACTGTTGTCTAGTTGTTATTATATAGATATGCCTAAATTTACAAAATATCTATCAAATTATCCTGGTTCTTTGTATTCAAAACTATAGTCTAAATCAATTTAATAGTCAAAAATAGTTTGAAATTCGAAATCAATAGTAGATAAGGTACTAAGAATATGTATTTTTGAAGTAACATAAGAGTAATTACTTTGAGGTTTCTTATGAATTGGTTGTATCTACAACTAAAAAATAATATCTTGAATAGCAGTATAAATAGAAGAGTTGTTTTGGGTTATAAAAAGATATACAAAGTTGATAGTAGTTCTGAAAGTATAACTATAAGCAAAGTAGGTATTAGAATACCAATTTCAAAATCTTTTGAAGAAAGTATAACTACTAGTTCTAGATAAGGAATAACAAGCTTGACAAAAAAGATCTGAGTTTAAAGCTTGTAAAATAGTATAGAAAAGAGTAGAGTTTTGTTAATATTCATACTAGTGATTTATAATATACTTATTATGTAATTCAGTAACTTTATTAGTTATAAAATAAAGTCTAAAACCTTAGCAAACTGGCTAAGATAGAAGAGAAAATAAAATAATGTTTTTGGAGTTAGATTCTTATATCTATACTTTGGTTTATAAGAAATCCTTTAATTGTTTTAAGATAATATTATCTAGACAATAGTTAAAATAAATTCTTGGTGGTGAGAATTGTTAACTGCAATATTCAATTCAATTCAATCTGAGATAATTATTCTTTACTAAATAGCTATTAATTAAAAGAGGTCTAGATAATATCATTTAGAAAATAGTTTTAAAATATTTTTACCAGGAGGTATCAAATATTACAGTACTGTAGCCTTTTTAATAGCAATACTATAACAACAACATAGCTATAGAGATTCTTTACAGGTTTATACAGGTGGGTGACAAAAATATTTCCACACCTAAGAACTTGGTTTATAACTCAAAAACTTACTAATTAACTTATGTCCTTGACTTGACTATATGAAACCTTATCTCTTGATGATTATGTC